TATGTATTTGACCACATTTGACCTATTTTAATTTACTTTATTTATTAATTTTATTTATATTGTGACGTCATTTATTTATTCTCTTTATACAATCAATCTTTTACCTCTAATTTATAATTTATTATCACGCTGTACACTTATAGTCTCATGAAATGCGGCCACATCTTACATGATACATCATGTTCCCGCTACTAAGTAATAAGATTCTATCTAAGGTATTCCCCCTTATATTGTTCTTTAGTGTTCTGGTTTTCTCTTTAATTTATTATTTTATATTATTATATGTTTATATCATATGGTTTCAGTTTACTTGAGAAGGGCTCGAAACGGAGCCGAAACGTTATAAATAAATAAATATTATGCCAGTTTGGTCGACGTACAACAAAGCATTTTTATCTCTTTTACTAAGTAATGAACGTCTAACCGTAAAACTTGTTTTTTTTTTTACTGAAATGCTTACTGTAACAATTTCCTCTGCAGCAGCATCACTTAAATTACAATTTTCCATTTCGTAAATTACAATTTTTCACTTCTTGAAAACTATTGCATTTAAAAACTAAACTTTTAGAAAATTCTTTTATCCTTATTTATCAATGCATAACTGAACAACTGTGACACGGCATTGAACAAAGAACCAATCAAAGCACGGAATATATCCTTAACTTGTCAAGTCGCTAACTTTAAGGCCCGGTCTACAATGAGTTGTCAGTCGTTAGTCAGAAGTCGGAACTATATGTCGGTCCTTTTTCTTCCACCCAGAAAGGAAAAGGATCAACATATAGTTGCGACCTCTGACTAACGACTAACGACTCATTGTAGACCGGGCCTAACGATTAACGAAACAATATATGGTAACACGCCAATGTGGGTCACAAGGCAAGATGTAGGTAGCCCAACTTGTAAATCTTAAATCTTTTTTGAAAATCGTGAATCTATATACAATGTGTATATTAAGATTTACAAGTTGGGCTACCTACATCTTGCCTTAATTGTGACTCACATTGGCGTGTTACCATATATTGTTTCGTTTTAGATAGGGGTCTTACTTGAAAGTTACCCGTTTAACGATTAATTTCTCGCTTCGCGGGACAGAATAACACTTTTTTCTATCAGATTCTTTTGTTTTGCATAAAAACGCGTCGATTGAGACTAATTTCATTGATTTTTGATGTGTGTAGTTATACTGAAGAAATCCCCGAATCGTAAATCTGCGAAAATGAAAATCGATAAGAGAAACGTGTTCATATTTTTATTGTAGCACCGTTACCGCCACCGACAGTTACCTCGTCGGTATCAGTGGTTTCGGCGAGGGCTGGCACAATTACCATCACGCATTCCCATGGGATTACAAGACCGCCGAATTCGGCAACTATCGCACGAACCTAACATGCGCTTTCATCGACTTTTTTGTCTGGCTTGGCTGGGCGTACGATTTGAAGACCGTAAACCACGACATAATAAAGAGACGCGCGGCCCGAACAGGCGACGGTTCCTTATATGAACGAACGAGTGATGAACATACGCAAGAGAAGTTTACGTGGGGATGGAATGACGCCGATATGTCACTCGAGGATAAACAGGCAGCTGAGATCCTCAATAAAAGCGATTAAACTTCGAGATTTAGGTCTTCAAAATTGTATACGTATCACGGTGTCGGAGTTCAATAAAACTTGTCATTCAGCAGTATTTGTTTTATCGCATCTTATTCATTTAGTATTACATACATAATATTTGCACGTAAACATTAATAACGTCAGTGTTTTCTTGTCCATATCTGGCATTTTTAATAATACAGAAAATTTATTGCGACAAATAATACCCATGTTGGCCTCAGTGGTCGAATTGGTGAGACGCCCGCCTAGAGTATAAGGAGGTCCAGGTTCAAACCCTGGCTGAGGTAATATTTTTCGCATTAAATTTTCTGTATTATTAAAAATGCCAGATATGGTCAAGAAAATACTTACGTTGTTAATTACTGCTGGCGATATTGAAGAATATTCTTATTATAAAACCTGGACCTCTCTCTCAAAATTAAAATTATTTAGACACTAACATCCAGTCAGTGTTTGCTGTTATCTAAATAAAATTATATAGATGATTATCTAGATAAAATTTTAGCGTTATCTTATCTTTATATAGATAATAAAAATAAGTATTATCTATATCTGCATCTTAGATGAAAGATAGTGTTATTTTTATTAAATTATCTAAGATAACGTACAGATAATTTGGTTTAGGGCCACATAAAAATACTTAACAGTTACATTATTTAAATATGGATGGCGTTGTAGACCATGTATTTATGTGTGTGTCATATAACTTAACCTGAATATATTCTATATCCCAAATTGAAATTTAAACGCCCATTGAATTAGGACCTAGGCAAGGTGGTGGCCATTAAATAGCTTAAATTTCAATTTGATTTATATCTAAATAGGACCGAGAAATATTCATCGTTGTTTATTCTATATCCTCCCTTAATAATTTAAATTTTTCTATAATTTTTTAATAACTTTTTCTACTGTGTTTACATGAAGTCTTAAAAATATTATCTGAAAATTATCTAGATGAATCATCATATAATTTTATCTTTTATCTAGATATATTCAAAACGAAATCATCTTTATCTTATCTAAGATACATTTATATATTTTTATCTTATCTTTATCTAGCTAATTTTTAAATCATCTATGCACAACACTGCATCCAGTCTTGGCTCTTAAGTTCATTGATTTTGGAAGTGAGGGAGCTAAATTGAATAATTGCCACTTTATGAATCTGACGTGTTGACGAAAAATGGCGGACCAATCACAGCGTGCTTCCTCATGGCCAGACTCTAATTAGAGGGTCTCTATCTAGTAGTGTATAGAAGTCTGTGGCACAGAAGCTAAAAGCGCGATAAAAAGAATGTATTCACATCTGTGTTGCAGTTTGTTTCAGTTTATTCATGGCAGGTGTGTGTGTGAGGTCTTTCGCGCTTTTTATCATTGAAAATATATTTTTCGTTCACAAAGCGGCACGAATAGAGGTACAAAATGCCACGGATTATGATAAAGGGTGGTGTCTGGCGGAATACAGAAGTAAGTGATAAGCGAAATATTTTCTAACCTAAAGCTTCGCGCCCGCGCGCGTTGTGTGTGCGTGTGCGTGTGTTTGTGCAACTTTGTTAAATAAAAAAATTCTTTGTTTTTAGGATGAAATCCTGAAGGCGGCTGTAATGAAATATGGGAAGAACCAATGGAGTCGTATTGCATCTTTGTTACACAGAAAATCGGCCAAGCAGTGCAAGGCACGTTGGTTCGAATGGCTAGATCCAAGTATAAAGAAGACCGAATGGAGCCGAGAGGAAGACGAAAAGCTGCTTCATCTTGCGAAGCTAATGCCTACCCAGTGGCGAACCATCGCGCCTATTATTGGTCGAACAGCTGCGCAGTGTTTGGAGAGATACGAATACTTACTGTGAGTAACAGAGCGGGCTTTGTTCAAGTATAGAACAGTCTACTCTGATTAATACACTCCTGATATTACATTGAATTGTTTCAGTGACCAAGCGCAAAAGAAAGAAGAAGGAGACGATGCCGTCGATGATCCTCGCAAACTTAAACCAGGTGAAATTGATCCCAATCCGGAGACAAAGCCGGCGAGACCAGATCCTAAAGATATGGACGAGGATGGTAGGTTGAAAGTTTTCGTTAACAGCACATTCTACAGCAAAGAGAAGTATAATAAGTAAGGAGAAGACTCGCCAAGGTAAAAATCAGTAAAAATAAAAGTGGCGACTCTTCTACCTTTGTTTTTAATTATTTAGAGAGAATTGTACTTTATAACAAAACGGATACATGTTTCTAATCGTGTTGGGTTCCCCTACAGAATTGGAGATGCTGTCTGAGGCACGTGCCAGGCTGGCGAATACTCAAGGAAAGAAGGCCAAGCGTAAGGCGCGTGAGAAGCAATTAGAGGAGGCGCGCAGGCTCGCCGCTTTGCAGAAGCGCAGAGAATTGAGAGCCGCCGGTATTACCGTGTCTCAAAAGAACAAACGCAAACGTGGCGTGAATTATAACACGGAAATACCGTTTGAGAAACGACCAGCGTCCGGTTTCTACGACACCTCCAGCGAGCACGTCGATCCGTTGGCGATCGATTTTTCCAGAATGAGGCAGCAACATCTGGACGGCGAGCTGCGGCAAGAGAAGGAGGAAATGGAGCGCAGAAAGGATAAGCAGAAGTTGAAGCAGCGCAAGGAAAACGATATACCAATGGGTATGCTCAACAACGAAGAGCCTGTGAAGAAACGGAGTAAATTAGTTTTACCAGAGCCGCAGATCTCCGATCAAGAATTACAGCAAGTCGTGAAACTTGGCAGAGCTTCGGAAGTACGTTCGTCAATTAACTCATTTTACACGAAGGAAATTATGATGCGTCTGCCCGTACTTGTCGCTTAAGACCGGCTCTACATTAGTCGCATCGTAGCGTCGCAAGGGTCGCAGACTAGTTCCGATTCAGCGCTGATTGGTCGAATCTATGATTCGCGACGCTTGCGACGCTACGATACGGTCAATGTAGAACCGGCCTGACGTGTTGTTGTCGTTAGGTCGCACGAGAAGTCGCCACCGAAAGCGGTATTACGCTCTCCGACAGTTTACTGGCCGATTACTCGTTACCCACGAATGCATCGGTAACACCTCGTACACCGGCCGCTACAGACAGAATATTGCAAGAGGCACAAAATGTCATGGCTCTTACGCACGTGGACACTCCGCTAAAAGGTTTAAAATATAACAATTTGTAATACTTTGTATGAGCGTAATGTTGAAGTTGTGCACAATTTATGAATGTTATCTTCCAGGCGGATTAAACACTCCGCTGAACAATCCTGATTTCACCGGCGTTGTACCGCCTGCCAATGTTGTCGCCACACCGAATACTATTTTGGCCACTCCGTTCAGGTCGCAACGCAGCGACGGGACGCCCGTGAATTCGTTCAACACACCGGGCGGGGCGTCGGTACGAACGCAAAATGGGGTTTTAGCGGCGACACCCGTTCGCGATAAGCTTAATATAAATCCGGACGAGAACGTAGACGGTTCGGAAACCCCGCTCATACAGACGCAGGCAAAGAGTTCGTTGCGCGCGGTATTGAGTTCTTTACCCGCGCCATGTAACGATTACGAAATAGACATCTACGACGGAGAGACAAACGAGGAAAGTGCCAGTGCGCCTACAACCGAGATGATCGAAGACCAAGCTGACATCGATGCGAGACAACAGCAGGAATTGTTAGAACAAAGTAGGCCATCAATTGATTGTTTTACTGCATTAAAACCTTAGAGATGTTTTTCAAAACTGGTTTCATTACAATTTCAATTTTCGAAAGGAGAGTTTGCTTATTGTCACCAGTAATGATTAAAAAATGAGACGGGAAACTTATAGTCAACCCAACTAGCTAGTTATTTAATTAGTTTATTACACAACGTTTCGACCCTATTCTTTTGGGTCCTTTTCGAGTGATACCTACATTATTTCATAACTGCGTTGTTGATTTGCAGTATCACTCGAAAAGGACCCAAAAGAATAGGGTCGAAACGTTGTGTAATAAACTAATTAAATAACTAGCCAGTTGGGTTGACTATAAGTTTCCCGTCTCAAATTTCAATTTTTATGGGAAGTTGTAAATTACTTGGTTTGTGATTTTTTTTTTACTTGCTGGATTGCTTGCGCGCATCTGTGCTGGCTGATAGCCACTCAGGATGCAGCCTTGAGTCAGCCTAACTTATTTGCGCGAGCAACTCAGTAGGTAAGAGCATCGCTTAATTATCTTTCTCTCTTGCAGAAAAAAGAGAGCTGGCACGTAGGTCGCAAGTAATTCAAAGAGATTTACCACGACCTGCGGATATAAATATGAATATTTTAAGACCATACATGGACACACCACTGACCGATTTACAGAGAGTATGCGATTCTTTGTATATGAAAACATTTACTCTCAGCATTGATATTTTTGACGGACTAATTTCCTATCTTACTATTTCATTCCTAGGCAGAGGAATTGATAAAAAGGGAGATGATCACAATGTTGCACTATGACGCGCTGCAGAATCCAACACAGTCCAATCGGAAGAGCGCCGCAACATCATTAGCTCAGTCTCAAACTTATTTGGATCAACATCCGTACGAGATGTTCGAAGAGGACGAGCTTCATAATGTACATACAAGATATAAAACGTGTATATCTATTTCTATGTTATCACAGCCATTAAATTAACGTTGTATTAATATTCAAATCCAGGCTAAGAAAATGTTAACCGACGAGATGGCAGTTGTGAAAGAAGGAATGGCGCATGGAGAATTGAGCTTGGATGCGTACACTACTGTATGGGAAGAATGTCTGTCGCAAATTTTGTATCTCGAAACACAGAAACGGTACACCCGCGCAACGCTGGCCTCGAAGAAGGACAGAGTGGAAGCATGCGAGAGAAAATTAGAGGAGAATCGTATGCATATGACAGGCGAAGCTAAACGCGCCGCGAGGATGGAGAAAAAGTTGAAAGTACTTACCGGAGGTTATCAAGTAAGCAAAATTTGGTATCGTTCGGAATTCTATGTAAAGTTACGACGAGAATCGTTGCTAGCCATCAATTTGTATGGGATTAACTTGGCGCATTCTTTCATTTTATGTATCTTTCCGTACCTTTCATATTTTTGGAGATAGTTGCGTGGATCATTGAAAATGAGACACCCTGTATATAATAGTAAAATTAGAACTACAATATATTACAAAAACCTGTTATTAATAGAGTTACATTTTACAATTTACATAGTCTTAAAAATGTATTTCACGTGAAATACATTTCTTCACCTGAAAGATGTGTGATTGCTCTCGGCTGCTGCACAATTACAATTTTGTATTTTTTAAATAGACCAGAACACAAGTATTGACGAAGCAGCTGCACGATTTGTGGGAGCAAATAGAACAGGCGCATCTCGAACTGTCAACATTCAAGTTTCTACAGACGCAGGAAGAGGCTGCAGTGCCGAGAAGGATAAATGCGCTCATGGAAGATGTCAACAGGCAGACAGAGCGAGAACGCTCGTTACAAATGCGATACGCTCAGCTGCAAGATCAGTTGCAGCAGTGTCAATTAAATGATATGTCCTAGGGATAATGCTTGCTGAATACGTGCAGCAGAATGTAATATGTATTGCTTCTCTCACCTTATGGAGCAGTACATCAGAATATAAGATTTATACACTCGTGAAAATATTATCTGCTATTAGAATAATCTTCCCTGTTGGAAATCAAATAAGGATTCAATATAATGTTCATTGTCTCCACAACAGCTGTAAATGTTATTAATATCGTTTCGAAACTTATGTAGTTTGAATTATTCGATGGAAATTATGAGAATGGCAAATAATTATATTAAACGCTAATTTTGTTCTAAAATCTGACAATGGCTGCGTTCAGCAGAAAAAGCTGCTTTGCAACCGTTGTAAAATTTGTGAATCTGATTAGCGTATTCTCTTCATCTTGAGTGAATTTAAAAGCATACGCCAATCAGATTAATGAATTTTATAACAGTTGCGAAGCAGCTTTCTCTGCTGAACGTAACCAATGTATATTTGTGAATGGTTCTTTATTTTTTTCGAGAGAGAAGAGGCGACAGTCTTTTTTTTCTTTATACATACATATACTGTAAAATATTGTAATAATAAAATTCGTAATACAAAATTATCGAGTGATAACACATACTAGAAACGTATACACGATAATGAATAGAAAAATAGCTTAAAGAAGCATTTTACATAACACGAATATAGTTCAGAAATGTAAATGAGATTGTGGAAATCTCGCAGACGCGGCTTTTTTTTGAACCTCTACACACTGTACAATTTGTTGTCTAATCTGCAGAGACCGTGCAGATCAGGTGATGATAGGCTTTAATTAAGTCGTTCCGGCAGGTCTACACATCATCCGATCTACGGAGTTTCTGCAGATTCTCTTAGCGAGGATCGAAACCAAAATACAATTACCGACCGGTTAAGCCGGAAAGTCAAGGGGGCGTGATCGATCGAAGGGTTGTGCGCAGTTCACAAATGATAGCTCACTTGTTAGAGGGGCGTGTCATTACATAACGCCGACAAAATGGCCTAATCAATAGACGTAATGACGTGTGTTAAAAAAAAAGCCGGCGCTATTTAAGCGCATCTATCTTTCCCGGGTCATACATGTATACGCATTTGCAGATTACATGCATATATCTCGCTTTAAGAAATAATTACCAGGCAGTCCAATAAATATTCTAATAGTTGAAGGGACACTTGCAACAGGGAAAAAAAAAAGTCCCAATTATATTCGCATTTTTAGGATCTTTCTATGAAAATACAGAAGTACAGTCATCGATAGCGTATTCATCCTGTCCGCCTAACATCAACTTTCCATCGTATCATTTCCCACCGGTAGCTTGCTCCCGCATTCACCTACACTTGTACTCACACCTACACCGTGAAAAAAAAAGCAGTAACGACGCCACGAGCGTGTAGCTGGTAAATAGCGTTGGCTGCCGGAAGGCAGATGTTAACGTCGTCGTCAGCCAACCTAATCCCGCACTGTCGATTGGTCGGCGCGACGCGACTGGCGAGCCGGCGCCGAATCAGCGTCGTCGATCCGCCTGGCGCCGCCCACCACCCCTTTGCGCGCTCACCCCCACACTCACGCGCCGCCGTGGGTGGAGTCGACCAATGACACAGTGGTAACGGCCGTCTGACAACGTGGCCTCCGGGAGCCGCCCCCGTAGTTGCCGATGGCTAACTAGCGCTACCCCGCTATAGTCGAGTCAGCCACTCGGCCAGCAAGTCCCCGGGCCGAGTCTAGTCGCTAGCTCGCTGGAATTCCCCACCCCTATCGTCCCCCTCCCCCGCCCCCGCCCCGCCGACCCCTCGCCCGCCGCCCTCCAGAACGTGTAGGCCAACGTGCCAACTAGGGTGCCGCGGTGGCGGCGGCGGCGGCGGCAGCGGTGACGGTGGCGGTGGAGGTGAAGAAGAGGTGTTACGCCGTGGATTCGCGTGACGTAACCCCGGTATACGCCATCGCCGTGGCCTCCTCGCCGCGACTCGCGGTCGTTTAGGGATTGGCGTCGGTGTGTTGGTTCGCGCAACCATCCACCCACCCTATCCCGCGTCCTCACCCCCCCCGTCCCCCTCCTGCCACCCCCTCGACGTCCCGTTCCACTCGCCCCCTTCGCGGATACCCACCACCGGACCGTGTCGACCGTATCGGGGAACGACCCATGATTCTCCGTGATGTGGCTACGGACAGGAGAGATAGCTGCTCCGGCAGCCAGTCGGGCAACAACCCCTATATGCGCATACACGGACGAATAGATACACTCATACACGCGCGCAGATACATGACAGTAGACACGGGCACGAGTACGCCCTTCTCGACGAGAGAGAGAGAGAGAGAGAGAGAGAGAGAGAGAGGAGGGGAGGGAGAGAGAGAGAGAGAGAGGAGGAGGAGGAGAGAGAGAGAGAGAGAGAGAGAGAGAGAGAGAGAGAG